CTCTACACCTTGTGTACATTGTCTCGTCGGACCCTGGACATGGTGGCAAATGCCCCCTACACCTAGGATTACTACCATTTAGTTCTTCATACATATGACGTGCTCTAGGGTTCCATGTACCGTGACCGTGGTAAGGGCCRGGAAAACCTGATTGATAAACGTGACGAGAACAAAAATAATATAGTTAAACGCAAAATAAAAACAAAATCGAGCGGACTCAAATTATAATAAAAAGCAAAATAATATAAAACAAAAATGGACAGTAAAATATTTAATTAGTTAACTACAACAATGTACCTCTTTTAATCCTGTCACATGTATTGTAATTGGAACCAGGGACAGGCGGAAGTTTGCGATTGGGAGGTGCTATGTAACCAAGTTCGTCATTGAAATCTGCGTGTCTCTTGTCAAGTGTGTTGCCTCCCATAATCATTGATTGATTATAAACAGTCATATCATCTAATAATAATTACATATTTTAATATATCAATACACAACAATTAACAATATGTGATATTTTAAAATTATCCAAGTTTATATGTAGATAATTTTTGCAAGTCAAACATTTAAATATTGACAAAGTAGTGCGCACAAATATCATAATTTTATCTTTAAATTCATTGATATTATTTATGCACACAATACTAAACATACTCACCAAGATTATATTAGCTAACAGCATTAAAAAGATGCATTATATTTCTCTAARTATAATTTGAAATTTAAATTATGTGTTTTTGTATATTTTTTTAAATAGTTTATAAAAAATATTTATTTTTAAGTCAGTTATTATCAAAGGTRTCATTAAGTTGTCATGCTGATCAGTAAGATTTACATTCTTTATAACTATTACTTATATAACATTTTTTGGTGCAGACATCTTCATGTTAGCCACTTCAGGTATATACATACCAATATACCGCWTTTATTATGTGTATATTAYAAATTACATAAATAGAAAATACTTTTTATTTATAATTTATCTAGTTGAAGTTAATATTATGTACCTCTCAATCTAGTTTGTCCATTTTCATGAACTCTACGAGACCAAGCAAAACAAACCACAATTATACCAACAATAATGACAATAATTGTTGCAGCAGTCGGCACCACAACATTTAAATCAATCCATTTTGGTATCCATGGTAAGTATGTATAAATAGATGTGACATCTTGTGCAGGGGGAGCAATAGTACCTTAAAAAAAAAAAAATAAAAAAATACAACTAACCTTTGATATCCACTCCTCTTTTCTTTAAGTAACACAAGAAGATTATGGCCACAATAATAACTAATAAAGCTGATGTGACTGGTATAACTAGATTCAAATTTGCCAATATGATACGTATAGCAGTATCAGTAGCTGAACCAAAACCGTTGTGATGAACCTCACGAGCTGGGGCAATAGTACCTGGAACAAGGAAATAGGAATGCATTTATTTATAATATTTTCAATTCAAAGAAATTGTTCCAAGTACTAATTAAGCACCNAAATTACATAAATAGAAAATACTTTTTATTTATAATTTATCTAGTTGAAGTTAATATTATGTACCTCTCAATCTAGTTTGTCCATTTTCATGAACTCTACGAGACCAAGCAAAACAAACCACAATTATACCAACAATAATGACAATAATTGTTGCAGCAGTCGGCACCACAACATTTAAATCAATCCATTTTGGTATCCATGGTAAGTATGTATAAATAGATGTGACATCTTGTGCAGGGGGAGCAATAGTACCTTAAAAAAAAAAAAATAAAAAAATACAACTAACCTTTGATATCCACTCCTCTTTTCTTTAAGTAACACAAGAAGATTATGGCCACAATAATAACTAATAAAGCTGATGTGACTGGTATAACTAGATTCAAATTTGCCAATATGATACGTATAGCAGTATCAGTAGCTGAACCAAAACCGTTGTGATGAACCTCACGAGCTGGGGCAATAGTACCTGGAACAAGGAAATAGGAATGCATTTATTTATAATATTTTCAATTCAAAGAAATTGTTCCAAGTACTAATTAAGCACCATCTAGTGAGCAAACGGTTTTGGAAGAAAGGAAATATTGTAAAAAATATTATTTACCTCCACTTAATGTTAGTGATGCAAATTCATATTCAGCCACAGAAAATCCAGCATTATTATGAGCAGTTACTCTTAAATGATACCATGAGGCAGGATCTAAATCAAGTACTACAAAATTTCCTCCAGGTCTTACATTATTTGAAACTTGAGTCCATTCTGATTGCAATCTTAATAGTAACACAAGTATAAATAATATTAATTATTCAAAAATTTTTTTATTAAATATTACTTTTTTTTATGTTCCACTACAAAGTATAGCATCGGACAACCACCATCCAACCAAGCATTTAAATGTAGTGTTACACTTGTTGCTGATACTTCAATAAATTTACTTGCTTCTGGAATTTTAGGTTTTGAACCTGTGGTTTTTGTATTCAATAAATCTGATTCATCACCTGTGCCGATTCTAAAATATACGTTTTGAGTAATTTAATTGATTCAGTCTAAAGCTTGTACTATAGTAGTCATAAAATATATCCTTACAAGTTATATGCAGTTACAGCTATTTGATAYCGTGAACCACACCATAAATTTTCTAATGTAAATTTATCAGCCTTTGCTGCTACTTGAGCTGTTTGCCAATCACCAAATTCTGGTTTATATTTGATTGTATATCCATGAATAGGTTCTTTATCAGCAGCATGAGGTTTAAGATTTAATGTTATTGTATTGGATGTTGTTGCTCCAACAGATACTTCTGGTTTGTGAGGTGGCGCTGTAAAATATATTTTACATAAATTATTATACTCACATTATGCACCTACTWTRTAAAATACCTAAGACAACAATGTGATGTGTGATTTTATCTTTTCCAAATGAATTTTCTACAAAGCAGGAATATTCTCCAGCATCAGTTCTAGTGACGGATCTAATTAATAGRGAACCTTCTGGTAGCTGACGAATACGATCATTGCTCTCAAGGGGTGCACCTTTAACTTTCCATGAAATTTCTGGGGCTGGTACACCCACAGTTAAACATGGAAGTTTTACATCTTCACGGTATGTTGCGACAAATGAATCATCAAAAGATGCAATCATTGCGGGAACTTAAAATAAATAAAAATATTATTKATCTACTGTTTAAGCTATAWATACCTAATTAGTAAATACCTCGAGTACTAGGTGCAATGACAATTGATTTGGTAGGTTGTCCTTCACCAATATTTGTAGATGCTGTAACCCAAAATTCATAAGGATCTTGCTTAATAAGACCAGATGCTTCAAAACTCATTTGATTTGGAGCAACTTTATGTGCCAATGGTTCTTTCTACAATAAAAAAATAATTTAAAAATGAAATTGTACAACTTTAATATTATTATTGGTTTTATTATTTTAATTAAATTCAAAAATTTTTAATTGAATAAATAAAAACATTTTCAATATTATTCATTCATACATCTTTATTATCACCACTTGGTTTAATGTAAACAGTGTACTGATTGACATCTCCATTAGGCTCTGCTGGAGGTTTCCAACTAACTAAAACCGACTCTGTAGACATAACCAAAGCTTTGAGAGCGGCTGGTGCTTCAGGAACTATAATAAATATACACWAAATATTGCTAAATCCTCATCATGTATATTTTACTGCATAAGTCTTTACCATCTTGTTCAGTTTGACAATATATTCTAGGAGCACGGACACCATCTCCACCAGCAGTGAACGCTAAAACTTCCATACTGTAATTTGTAAACTTCTTAAGACCATGTAAAATAGTTTCACTTGACACTGTTATCTTTGTGTCTTTTGTACTTTCATCTAAATTTATAGAAAAAATATAAATAAATTATATACAAATTTGTGGAATAAAATGATAATACTTACTAAACCAAGAATCACTAGGTCCATAGATTACTTTGTAACCTTTAATAACTCCATTAGCTGTACTTAGAGGCGGTGATACCCAAGAAATTCTAATAGTTTGAGAAGTCAAAGTTGTACATGTTGTATCATGTGGTGGTTGTTCTGGTACACCTTCAGAAGTGTATTGTTTAATCTCATCAGACATTGGTCCAGCACCCARTTTGTTAAAAGCTTGCACTACTATTGTATACTGAGTATATGTTCTAAACACAGTAAAATAAAAGTAATATTATCATTAAGTATTAAATATCAGTTTTAAATATAGGTAYATAGAGAAGGTAAATGTTATATGTGAAATATGCAAGCATAGTATTTATCTATATGAATATTGTATAGGTACTTAAATATTATATTACATTAATTAAAAATTATAAGAAATATTWAAAAAAAAACAACAACAACATATTATAAGTACCTAGCTATTAACTTACTTTAGATTGAATATTTCCAAATAATGTTCTTTTCCTTCTTCTTTACTGAACTCGACGGTTTCAAAGACAAATTTGTTATCAACTAATGACGATTGTTTATATCCAACATAATATCCTTGAATTTCACCATTCCAATCACTACGTTCAGGAGCTTTCCACATTACTTTTAAAGTATTTTCATCAATAGGATCAACGTGAATGTTAGTTGGCTTTCCACCAGGAGCTGCAAAACAATTTATTTATCAGTAATCACAGAAAATAATGTATAAAAGTATTTACCTTCTTCTGACGTAATTATGGTAACAGGATCAGAAGGTTTAGAAAGACCAACTCCATTTTCCGCAACTATTCTAAAATGGTATGTTGTAGCTGGATGAAGACTGACTACACTCATTTCAGTCTTATCTCCTGTAGCTTCAACTTTTTCAATATCTGTTTCCCATGTGTCTGATGATTAAATTATAATATTAGTGTGAAAAACAATTTTAATTAGGCATTTAGACATTTAATAGTTTAATAATTACTTTTCAATAATTTGTATTCAACAATGTAACGTGTGATAGGGGAATTGCCATCATAAGGAGCTAACCAAGACAGTTGAACGGTTCGGCCTGACTTATCCAATACTTTTAATCCAAAAGGGACCTCAGGAACCTCTATAATAATTGAATAAAACAACATTTAGATAGATAGATTTAGATAGATACAAAAATTAATTTACAACAATTAGTAATAACTGATTAAATAATGTATACTATTAACCTTGAACAATAAGTTGAACACTTGAATCATCACTTCCAAATGAATTAGTAGCGACACATGTGAAAACAGCAGTATCAATTCGTTCAGATCTTTTGATGCTTAGRTCCGATTTTACTCCATCTGTTAATATTTCTTCACGTATTGTGTACCTAAATARAATAGCAAAAAAAAAGGTGTATTTATTTCAACAAAATAATATTGTAATTGATATTTTTATCACTTAATTCTAAAAGATTCTTTGTAAACATTCAGATGAAAATACAATACCTTTCTTCTTCCTTAGCATCTAGTCGTTTGTTATTCATATTCCAAACAATTCCAATAGGTTTTTCTCCTTTTGCCATACATTCCAAAACAGCAGGCTGTCCCTTTTCAGAAGTTTGATTTCTTGCCTTTATCTCAAAATGTGGTGGAGCTTAATTCAAATGCCAAAGTTATTAAATAAATATGTCCATTATGCTTTTATTTTTACCACTCACCTTGTACACTGATAGTGATCACTGCAGACAGTCCAGAACCAATTCCGTTAACCGCTTCACACAAGTAGTGGCCTTCATGATTTTTTTGAATATTATGGATAGATAAAGTTCCTTCATCAACTTTAATGTCATCACTGCCTGGTTTTAAATCTTTAATGTCCTTATAATCTCCCGGAGAATTACCTACAGTAAGTAAATATATWAAATAAAATAATTGTTAGTYATAAAATAGTAAATTTAATATTTACCAATAGCTTTTTTCCATGTCACTTGAGGCTTAGGGAAYCCATCAGCTTTACATTCAATTTTTGCATCACCACCTTGTGCAAAGGCTTTRTCAKTAGGTTCAAGTATCCACCTGGGAGGAACTAAATAGAAAAACATAACTATGTAGATGATGAACTTGGACTTAAAGTAATGGAGTAGCAAGAGTCTATTTGTGTTCAATACTAATTTAATATTAATGAACATACATTATAGGTATATACAAATATATTATATACATAGTGTATGTGTTGTTTATAAATTGATATATATTTRATAAATGAATRATTAAGTATACAAGACAGTTTTYATCTGAAATGTGTARTGACGACTAAAAAAACAAAATTTAAAACTCTTGCTACTTGATGTTAATAGTTTTTAAARTAAAGTTTWTCTGGYGATGAAGTTAAAATATTACWTTTTATGAATAAAAAAAATTAAAATACACATACCATTAAACAAACAGTATTTATTATATAAAATTAATATATTATGCTTTTAATGACTTTGAATTCATCATCACACAGATAAACTTAATTTTTAGTGCGTTAAAGCGTGCTAGGAATTAAAATGCAATAGTAAAACTGTAGGTACTAACTATGTATATTAATCAGCAAAAAAATAATACAAATGTGTAGACAGATTACATTATACTATAATTACTAACGTCAGAAATGTACTCAAGTGAAGTAAAATTTACCCGCAAAGGAGAAATTTGAAAAAAAAAATGTCTGCAATAACAATATTTTGAACATAATATGTGAATTTCAAATATAGTYTCAATTAATCAATTGAAAAACGTCAAAGAAGCAAATAATTTTAAATTAAAGAAACATAAAGACACGGACATTATATAATTTGATAGATAGGTAAAAATTAAATAAACAGTAATATGATCTTCACGCTGTACAGTGTACTGTTCTAAGAAAAAAAAAACGTAATTGTGGCTTTGCGGGGTTAATACATGATTTGAAAAATATGTCTACACATTAAAAATTGTTTTCGAACAAAACAAAAGTGTTATTAAAAACCGTAAAAYAATAACGTTATTATACATTGTAGGTATTAATTGCATGCAATTATTATCAAGATAAATTCAAGCGACTACACTATAAGCAACATAAAGGATGGTGTAGTAGGATGGATAATGACGGCTGGATTCAATATTTAGGAAAAGTATTCTTTTAAATTTTAAATACGCGATCATTAAAAAAGTGATATGGGCGCGATAACTCCTGCTAATTTCGATATATTGTATAGATGAACACTATTTCTAATAAAGTAGGTATTATTTTATAATGTATAGRTACTTGCGACTTAAAAAAAATCCGAAATTCGTACACACACGCCACACATATATGTATACGGTATACCACATGGGTGTAATTTACAATTCYCATCCGTAATAGTACAACGTGGCTCTACATAGAATATTATTAAGTCTTTCAGCGCCAAATCCCTATCGAAAAACTCGACGAACATCATTGCGCGCGCGTAAATCAGGCGAGAAGACTGCAGGTGGCTTACGGCACAGTATTGTTTTGTGTACGTCRAACGACCGTTAATTATACAGTAGAAAACCAAAACAAACAAGAAACAATTAAAAACCACAAAATAAATACGCGACGAAGAACTTGCGAGAAGTACCCAAATACAATATCGTGAGTTTTATATAAATAGGTGGGCGGACCATTATCTTCAAAAAAAAAATGAGATACCTATCATTTTTCTACACTGTCAATTTTCCTCCAACAAAGGGAAAGGCGACTTTCATTTTCATCCACGCATTGTTTTTTTTTTCATTTTCAATTCATTTTTTAAATATTAAAATTATTCATTTTATTTGTTTCATGCGTGCGAAATGATGACAYAAATTAGTTAATTTGTATAAGTGAATTCAAAACACTCATTGTATTATTAAACATATTATTGGTAAAATGGAAGTAAAAAAAAAAATGAATTTGTTTACTATATTTTAATTATCATAAAAAAACATAAATATTTTACTTTATTTAATTTCATATTTGATGTGTTTACATAAATGAATAAAAATAACATGGAACAAACTATTAGTTTGACAACKATATGGATCCATTATAGTTGAAATGAGTGTTTCAATTTATTATTTAAATAATAGGGTAGGGCCGAGGGATGCCAGTGGAAAATAGAGGAAGAAAATGGTCAAAATTTGTTTTGTTTTGTGGAGGAAAATGAACAATGCGGATAAATACACTAAATCTCATTTTTTCGAGGAAAATGGCAACGGCCATAAATAGGCAGTCGTATTATTGGTTTACCCATGACTTTCAGAGTAGCGGTACGCGAGGCGGAACCAGCTTCGTTTCGTGCGACGCAGCTATAGTTTCCGGTGTTTTCCGGTGCGGCTTTGGTCAACGAAAGCAACGAAGTCAATTCGTCCAACCGCTGCACTTTGATACGGTCACCGTTAGTAGCGTCCGCCAACCGACGGCCGTCGACGGTCCACGAGAAGTACATCGGCGTGTCTCCGGACGACGCGGAACACAAGATTTTCGTCGATCCCCCTTCGTTTAACGTACTATCGGTAATCGAGAACGGTTCGACTTCCGGTTTGACTGCAACACATACACACGCGCACGAAAAAACCACCGTCAGAGGACATCATAAAACAAGATAAAAATGTAGACGGTAACATTAAACTCTATTGCATACGATACGATACTGTAAAAAAAACAAAAAAAAAAAAAAAAAAACGAAGAAAGACGACGAAAATACTATTTAAAGACATCGAAGCCGTCGCGTTGCACGTTCTTGCATTGGAATGACACCGAAAAATGCTTCCGCCGACCGAGAAYCGAATACAGTATGATACCTATACCTATATTATGTACAATATTATTCTCTATCCTAATAGTCGTAAATATTGAAGTGCACACAGATGAATAGGTGCGACTACACTAAATCGGTACCTATACGTGAAATTATATTCATGACATTCATGTAAAATAATTGTATTGCAATCTTGTCAAGAAATATTAGTTTACCTCTACCATTAAAGAATAATATATWTTTTTTAAAGTTGAATAAATAACTATAATGTAGCATATTAGATTAGGTGTATTCAGATAGTTATGTTTTTTAAAAATAATTACTAGAAATATATCATKAAAATGTTATGACAATTTAATCGATCTTCGAGAGAGAAAAATTATCGCAACAACTATTTTATTGTTGATTTAATAAAAATATATAAAATTAATCATGTAATATTGTATATTGTTTTTAATGAAAACTACACGCATTTAAGCTAATGTGTTAAACGGATTTGACTAGTAAATTTCTTGTCGCAGAACAAAATGGGACCTCAATCCGTAACGAAATAAATGTATTTCTAGGCAGAGTCGTTAAGAGATATTTAATATATAATAAGYCAATCAACCATGTAATAGTATAGTGATTKGGGAGGGTGAGCATAATTCGAAAAGTACGGCCGTGGCGATGTGTTTCCCGAAACGATAGGGRAAAAAATGGAAAATGAAGTCATCATAATATCGTAAACAACGTCTACAAAAGCACAACTGCGGGCACACGTTCAAATAAAACGGGATTCTGCAGCCATCGAGGACAAACATTTGTCTAAAGATCGTATTATATAATGCTATATATGATAATAATATTTTATTAAACAATAAGTAGGCGGATGGCAACCGGTCGTACGTAACCGCGGTAAGGGTGATTGGTATAATATAGTGACCGCCGTGCAGTTTTACCGTGGACGTTTAACGTGGCCGTGCGGTCAGCGCGACCGGCCCGGTTGCGGGCGACGCACGTATAGTTGCCGGCGTGACGGGACGACGAGGCGGCGTCGATGTAAAGCATGGACACCTTGGTTCCCATTTTGTTAACGGAAACGCCGCCTCGGAGCGATGAGGCGGCCGGGCCGGCGCGGCCGCTGAACGTCCAGAACAAGTCTAACGGCGGATCGCCCTCCGAAACGAAGCACGTTACCTGCGTCGACTGTCCGTCGTACACGGGATCGCCGAAACTGAACGGCTCTATTCGGGGGGCAACTGAAACACAAGCGGTCGGCCGTCATACAGTACTGTGCACTCTGCAGTCAAGGCCGTAACCGTGGTAGAGGTTCAGGGTTCCAGACACCCCTCCCCCCCGTGGATTTTTTTTTAAATTTTAGCAGTACCTAAATATTGTTTATAGATAGATAGTTTTTATATTTTGAACATACAAATAACAAAATATTTCCAGTAAGTAGGTATTTATACTTAAATCATCTCGCACGAGATTTTGTAGTTTCCGATCGCCTTGATGCAATGACTGCCTACCATAAGGAACTAATAATAAAAATTATGGCGAATTTTGAAAAAAAAATAAACGGTTTACGGTCGAAATTAAAATCGTATTTTACAGAACAAAAAAAATCAATGCCCACTCACGCGTCGAGGACGGGATGAAAACCAACGTTTTTGAGTGTGTATGTGTGTATATACACCGAGAGCGCGGATTATGCGTCGTGAATACAGAGTGATATGCGCGCGCGCGGAAAAGACTGCAGCTGGACGCAATAACATAATGGTATATCATATAACAACAACAGGGACGGGCAACCCAAAAACTTACCAAAGCGACAGTTTTAAAACCTTCCAAGCTCGTTGGTTGTATCTACGTTTAATGTATATTTGAATGCGAATTTTTAATTTTTATTCTTTCGCTAATTTTCTTATAAAAATTATAAAAACATATTATTATTTTAGTTATTTGATTCATTATACCTACGTATATGTATATGGAAATCATTTTCAAAACATAAATAAAAATAAATGTCATACTGAAAATCTAAGGATTTAAATGTAATTGATTAATTATTTGTTTTGTGTTATAGAGACCTACGTCATTATTATGATACACATTTAAAATAAAAATTTCGGATTTTATTATTGTTTTCAATTTATAATAATTAATTAAATAATATGTATTCGTAAATATTTTTGCATCATGGAAATAAACCAAAGAAAATAACATTCGAATCACTTTTTTTTATGTGATGAGATATTTTATGTACACATTTTCTTATAGATTTCAAACTCGCTGAGTGGACCGCTAGTTGCCAATCCCTGTTATATGATATATAGGTAGATATAACGGATCTTATACGCATTCCAATTACAAAAAAGCATTCATTCAAGCCGCGGAGCTGTATAGATATCAGGCTAATATAGGTAGTCGTCGTTTTACCGTGGACATTCAACGCGGATGTGTGTTTAGAACTTCCGGCTCGATTGTCAACGACACACGCGTAATTTCCGGCAAAATATGAAGACGTGGACTCAATGAATAGCATGGACAATTTACTACCCATTTTGTTCACTGATATGCCACTGGGCAACGGTCTCAGTTCGGACTCGTCGGGTTTGCGAAACCACCAGGATATATTCAAAGGGGCGTCACCTTCGGACACCAAGCATGTGATTTGCGCAGACTGGCCGGAATATATAGGCTCATCAAATGCGAACGGGACGATACGAGGAGGTACTAAAAAAAAAAAATCCTAATCGTAACGGTAAAAAAAACGACTATAAGGTTTCATGTTCGTTATGATGATAGGTCCTCAAGGAAACTCTTAAAAGTAAACAATGAGTAAACAATTACCTATAATTATACTGTAAAGCCCGGGGATTGATACGTGCTAAAAAATAAATGCTCAAAATTGAACTTAATAAAATACCGCGTTTCTGAGGGTATAGCGGTCGCGCGTTGTAAGAAGAGTGTAGGTGGTGGAAACCATTTATATAGGGGAAGGAAATGACCAATCAAATAATCGTTAAATTAAATAATTACTGAACTGAGGAAAATGAGGGAAAACAGGATCGGATTCTCCGGTAAATTTAATTCAAARTGGAAAACTTTAAATTTCTCCTAAAAACAAAACAAAAAAAACAAAAAATAAATGTATAAAAAATATACATAAGAATCTGGACTCTATAATCACGATGGTAGGTATTATACGTAATATATTATTGTCGTTGGAATGAAATATCGATGAAATGTAAAACAAACTGCAAGTACGGTAAAAGTTCAACTGCAGCCCCGAACCACGGGCAGATGATAAGGGCTTATGCGGGTTGTTCGGTCTAAGGTTAGCTTCAATATAATATTATTTATTATAATAGTATATTTAAATATTTTATACAATATATTAGGTATATGGTTGCAACTTGCAGCTGACAAGTATTTTATTATTAGCCACATGCTGAAAAACGTATAGCGACCCGCCACCCGGGTGAAATGCGGTCCAATCGTAAGTATGCAGGAGGTAGGTGTGAGTAGGTACCGTGCACGTTCAAACCGGCCGTATAGGACGTGCGGCCTGCGCGATTCGTAACGCGGCAAGTGTAATTTCCCCTGTGGACGGAGTCGGTGTTGTCGATCGACAACAGACTGGTTTTCGTGCCGACGTTCAGCACGGACACGCCCAGACCGAACACGTCCCGGGGCCCGTCAAATGTCCACGACAACTCGAGCGGAGAGTCTCCCTCAGAAACCGAACAGGCCACTTGAGCGGACTGCCCGGCGAACACCGGCGTGTCACCGAACGTGAACGGTTTTATTTTCGGCAAAACTGCAGGTGGACAGACCAACAAAACAATGAAAAACATAAACAACAATAATATTGTGTATTATAGGTGACGGATAGGAACAGAAAAAAAAAGAAACGGACCACCGTAAGTCCATCAGAATAACATAAACAAAATAATATTATAATGCCCATATGTGTGTGTGTACTTTAATGTGCGTAACCATGTGATAGCGCACTGCATATTATTGTCTTCTATCGATTCACTCTTCACTCAATATTTTTCGACCCAACGTAACCTAAGAAGAGTTCGAGCGAACCTCATTTGTTCAACCCGGCTGCGACACGATTCCACAAAATAGCGAAATCGTGTAGATTTCAATAATCAATAGTCATTTATTTGCATAACAATATATACACGTTCCCTCAAATTATAATAATTTTATGCACACGATTCCGCAYGGTTTTAAATGCCACGTTGCCATACCGAAAAACATGACGTAGGTACCTACCTAAACAAAACATAAATATTGTTGTAACATATATATAGGCACATAGGTACTATAGTTTTTCGTATAGACGACTACAGTGACTGTTTCGAAAACAACACTTTTGAACAAAACACTATATTTCATAATGATTAGAGATGTATTTTGGAATAAAAATTTTGTAGAAACTTTCATATTAATTTTTAATTTAATACTAAAATATCGTGTTTTTTCGTAAGATACTAGTATTATCATCTATATACCTACTATTTATAAAAAGAACAGTAAACTATTATTTCATGACAATAATAAGTAGTTAAAAAACTTAAAAAATACTATTACCTACTACTATTAATTTACTTTCAAATTATTAATTTAATGTTATGTACTATAACTTTATAAGATACTAGACACGTTTTCTCGGCATTTTTGGGAAACCATCGGTTAGGTTAGGTTTTAGTAGGAATTTCGTCATTTTTTATTTTTAAATTAATTTATGATAACAAGATCTAATAAATTTAACGTCAACATTGCATAAAAATATAGTGCGGAATCGTGTTGGTATAATATAATAAATTAAATTCRAGGTATCGGTCTTTATTGGTCTAACTACTAGTTGATCSGTTAAGGGTAATTAAGGTTATGTCAAGTTAACGAATACCGAGTGTTCTACGATATAAGAATCGCTCCATAATATTATGTTTATGACTAAGTAATGTATCGTTGYAAAAAATGTTCTATACAAGTCGGGAAGTAGGCGTAATATAAGGGATGATCGATTTAACCGAAGACTACACTAATTGGACTAAGCAGAATTTTGTGAGTTATTGAAATAATAAAACTTATTTTTACTATATTYTTGATTTCGTAGTCGGAAGTAGAATAACATTTTTTTCGATTAAATGAACTTTGAATTGTAATTAAAGTTGTTATTTTTATTTATCAATGAGTAGTATCAAAATTCAAAGTTAATAGAATAGTGGAAAATTAGCACCGGGCGATTCAATCCTGAAAATGTTTCTGTTAACTCATCTTTAAATTTGCAGTTATATATTAGATAAATTATATTATATTTAGTATATTTGATATATTTAAATGTATCAACAACTTAAGAAAATGTTATTTTTCTTCCGATCGAATGATTTAAAAAAATATTGAAACAACTACCAACAGTACAAAAAAAGAAAGAGGTTTTTCATTCAAAATCATTGTAACCCTCGCAGTAGGTAATCAAAAGGATCGTCCACAAACGATATGATGAAAATTATCTGTATAAATATTTCTGCCATACTATTGCGCATGCTAGGTTTATGTACCGATTTATGATATACATTTACGACGACCCTGCCGTCTGGATTTTTATCAGCGGGTAGTTACCGTTCACGTACAACGACGCGGTATGGCCTGTTTCACCAGCCATATTTCTGGCAAGACACGAATAGTTTCCGACGTTCTTCTCCGTCAGCGATTCCACAGTTAACGTACTGACTCGACGTCCGATTTTCGATACGAAAACATTAGCCAAGTCACTGGTCRATTTACCATTGAACGTCCACGCGAACTCGATGGGAATATCACCGGAAGACACGGTGCACTGGATAGAAATCGTTTCACCGGCCTCGGGAATATCATCACCGAATGTAAAAGGCGTCATCTTGGGAGGGACTTTGAAATGGAATTGTTCATGTGTACAAATTGCAAGACAATTATTTTACATTACGTAATAAGTGTGGACAATATTAAACAATAATGTAAGTAAAATATGTAATTTTAAAATTTTAAACAATTGTTTTCCGAAATTAACGTTTTGTAGGTAATCATTCATTTATTATCAATGTTTCTCAATGTTTTATATACTTTGAAATTTGAATCCACATAACCTATGTGTCGGTTACCTTTGAGTATACATTCGGTACCTATGTGTTATAGCCTACAAATTTATCGATCAAAATAATTGGTATTATTTAAGGAGTCATCTAGATTAAACGGTTAC